AGATAGACCGACGGAAACGAGTGACATGGATTTTTGTGATGCACATATCATATAATACCCAAAAAACATAATATCTCAATATCGAAATTTTTCGCCTGTAGGCGTGGAAAGTAAATACGTAAAACTGAATAAAAATGATATTAAGGTCAATATGCTTATATCTTGCCTAAGTATTGCAGAATATGTCGCACAAAAATGCAGCCATGTATATGTATCTAGGGAAGATTTCAGCATATCGTAGCCTTAGCCACAGCCGGAAGCTAATGCTGTCGATGAAGAAGAAGCTCGCAAACGGCACAGCGGGCGTAGCGGCACGAGGCACTCTAGGAAGAATGAGAGGCAGACAAAAGCTCTACCATGACACGAACACAATGGGTAACGCTTTCCTACCACGGACTTAGCGTCAATTCGGCATTCCTTTCGTGGATGATGCGGAGAAATAGTTGCTCATTTGTTTTTGCGCGCATGAATTTTGTTTATAAATGCGCACTAAGAGCCGTATCGTCAGTCGATCCTACAATTGTCGGACGCCTTTATGCCCTCCTTGATCTTCATAGTTTTCTACTGCTCCGTGTCAGCGCACTATTTTGAGGATATGTTACAAATATCAATTTGCATCAAATTGTGCATGCTTTTCATTTATATAATCTGTTATGCAATTTAAAAAGAAAATATAGCCTCATAAATGGAGATCGCTGACGCTGACACGGAACAGTACAAATCTAAGAATAACCCAGCCTTTCTGAAGAAGAAATAAGGCTATGAAAATCAAGGAGGCCATAAAGGCGTCCTACAATTATAGGAACGACTGACGATTCGGCCCTGAATGTCTGCCATATATGTTTCTGAGCACTAATTTTGATGGATCTACATAAATCTATTTTTTAAACGTACGTTATGCATAAGATGCAAAGCAGGAAAATGGAACTAGTGAGTCTCATCATCCTAGCATACGTACTTTACAGCAGAGACTTGCTATCAGCTGTAGTATCTTCATAATTTCCGAACGTGATATCTCAATTGAAGTTTGGGTTTATCATTTGATACCGAGCACTTTGCGCTTTCTTGTGCCTCCGCCCACCAACTCAGAACTTCCTATATCGCCAGGCGGTCATTTCTGTAGGAACTGTTTATCCATTTTAGTCAAGACATCATATTACTTTTTATCCATTGTCTTGATCTTTTTCATCTCACGCCACTGTAGAGGAAGTATCACAAAAGAACGACAATTTCGAAAATGGGATAATATACTTTTTTGCAATTTTCACACAAAAGAGCTTAATTTTTCCAACATTCTGAGACTCCCGTTCATTTTTGAAAAATCTTTGAGGGGTAAAAAATTGAGGTTGTGAAATTGTAGGGGTTAGGGGAGGGTGTGTACCAATTTTTTGGCGTAAGTATATTTATAAGCTGCTAGCCTTGGTAATTATAGCACCAATTAGACTTATTTTACGCTTAGATTTCTCCGCACATTTGCCCTTAAGAGAAACAATTGAGAAGACAAGATAACCTTGACGTAAGAGGGTCTCAGTAGGCCGGTGTGGTTGCGTCATCGACAGTGCATTAGCTCGCATCTCAGACATGAGTGCCTGCAGGAATTTCTCTCAGGGAGGCAGGTTAAATATTATGAAATTACATCAGTATCCAAAAGTTTTGGAAGAGCAGGGGCAAGTTTTTTCAGGGGCAGAACAATGTAAAAAGTCTTGAATATGATACACAAAAGTATGCTAAATAGTTTATTAGACAGCTCAATTTTCAAGTGAAGGGAGTAGTGCAGGACCTGGGGATAAAGGACATTTGTATGGTCTTATTTGACTGACTTTATCCATCTTATCCATCTTTTTAAGAAGAGCTAACTTATACCGAACATAATCTTTTTTTTAAATGATGACAGTTTTCAACTCAATGGGCATAATTTTTTTCCTCTTAATTTATGTAGTAACCAGAAACCATATCTGATGCCTCAGCTGACAACATACAAGTACATCAGAAAGTACCGAGTCCGCCTATTCAACTTTCTTGTCTCAATATAGTAACTACACGCCTGAGATAAATAATTGCTATCTTAATTACGATACTGTTTTAGCAAAGGTTGCGAATGAACATTTTACGCGGATACTGTTTGATTTTGATTAGCAACCAGTCATTCTGCGAGACACAAGTGAAGCTAAATGGTAACAGGGCACCGTGTTGTTTCAATGCACGCTATTGTTTTCTTAGATCTGGAATTGTGGTAAATTACATATATATAACAGTTGTAAGAGATGATATGAAGAGATGATAATAGAAATATAACGATAAGCGTAAAAACAACAATTACACCTTACAGGCGTTCGAAGTACTACCCTGTACCTTCTCACTCTTATTACGAAAGTAGTACATACACAACTCAACCAAGGCTTCAATGTCAGGATAATTTTAAAGCCACTCAATTGGTGACGTTAACGACAGGGGAGTTGTTCTTCCTTGGCGAGAGATACGGTCGATAGAACTTTGTTGTCGGGGTCAAGTCTATTTTTGGGAAAAACCTTTTGAGTACCTTCCATATTCTACCGACTCATCACATGCACAACTCTACTGTCTATTCATTATGTTAATTAGCTGTCTCCATACTGATCACAAAACAATATTATAATGGCCATGATATTTCTCAATTATATTATTATAAATTACATTACATCGCATGGGGGAACGGTAGCATCCTACCGCGTGGAAGTCACACCCATGTCCATGGGAAGGGAACTGTAGCTTCATACCGCATTGAAGTTACGCCCGTGTCCATGATCAGGGGAACGGTAACTTCCTACCGCATGGAAGTCACGCCTGATATGGAAACACCTCGCACGGGGGAACGGTAGGTTCCTACCGCATTGAAGTTACGCCCGTGTCTATGATCAGGGGAACGGTAGCTTCCTACCGCATTGAGGTCACGCCTGATATGGATACCTTATTAATCTGGTGCTTAGACTGATATGCCAAGTATTTGATTGTTACGAAAAGCAGCCCAGAAACCAGGATATCACGTTGCCGTGTCAATACCCAAAAGCTCCGAAGTTACCTTTGATTGAGAGATAACCGAGCAGCGTGACAACTTTAAGTAACAATCCCTATACACATCTTGCCATGAGATACTTTCAGACTCCTGCGATTACCTCGAGAAGACTCTAGGCGGTCACACAGACCCAGGATACCACGCTGGCCAATAGCCGTTGTGTCAATACCCAATACGCTCCGACATTTCCCCTGACGGAGGAAACCGAGCAGTAATTTCCCCGATGGCAACCCGGCTCTGTAGGTCTCATAACAGCCTCCAGGATATGGAGGCGTCACACCTCTGTAGATGTTTGACTCTCAGTCACATTTAACTTTATCTTAACGGTTGATAAACGTATCTCATCTGACTAGTTTTGACTTATTACAATTATTATCATGATTATAAGGGTACCATGGTTAGAAAATACACATGACATGCAGTACAGCAAAACAATAAAAGATACTCAGCGAAAACCCCCACCGTTTGATTGATCGCACCTTGACCTGAACTTCATATGGATACTATTCACAAAATCACAACACACAGATACTTCGACCTTTCAACTGTTAGAACAATATTAGAATGAACTAAGAGAACCTGTGCCTCAGCGTGCTCTTGGTTTCTCGGATACGCAAGATCTTAAGTGGTTGTTGAAATGTGTATGCCAGCTGTGCCTTTCTTAGCATTCCAAGTGTCAAGCAATACTTTTACAGGGTGACTCACATACAAAAAAGTGTCTAAAATATTGTGTATGCTTACATAGTAAAATAGAAATTTGTGCAAATGAGCCATTGGTATTCGATTTTCCTGGCCTGTTAATTCACTCGCATACGTACTACCTTGTCTCGTCCTTATGGATGACCCGCGAACCTGTCTTTCAATTGATCCGTTCGCTATAAATTCAGCCTCATTAGCAAACAATTACCAACCGTAATTACTTAATTAAGCGGATTTGCGGAATAACTTTCCAATTAAAAGTTCTGCAGCAGCTCCGGAACGTCAGGCATCCTCCCGTGTCTAACGCCGCTCCGGGAGCATCCAAGTGACAGTCTTCGAAATAATTACCTGATCAGAAATAAAACTCTGGGGAGATCACGCAATGCCACACGTGCAGAAGATACCTTCAGCTGATCAGTTGCGATAGATAGCACTGTCGATGAGGTATTTTGCCTAACGAGGCTTCAGCAATTCCGAAATTCCATCTTAATAATACAAAAAATGGTTTCAAGTACACAAAGCCCTTTTAACATCACTTAAGATACTTACAAGAATAAAATAACTTATCCTTTGCCGCAACCAAAGTAAAATGATTCCTGATGTTAGAAAGGGGAAACAGTCCGGTTCTAGTACGCCTTGCAGGTTAACCCCTTGGCGGTCCTGATACTCCTTGAATGTGAAGTGGCATATTTACTTACTGGCATTCAGATTCGAGTCAACCTAATATGTAGATTTCCTGATTTTCTTTTAAAGCTCATGATTTGAAAATTACCCGACTTAGATTTTTAATATTATTTGTCTCATAACTTGGCGTATCCCCCGTTTCCGGCTTAACGTCGACTTCTGGGACACCCTGTTTAGTTGTGTTTCGGACTTCTGAGTTCCTCCTGGTCAAAACTAAGAATGTAAGCCATAATTATTGAAGTCCGATGCTTGAGGTCCTACTAGTGCTACAATTGTAGATAATACTTCTCCCCAACCAAACAACCAGATTAACATTTATATAATTGCTTTTCTTTACGGATAAAATTATATAGGTAAAAATCCATACGATGGAAACAAGCGGATTTATAAGCGTTCTAGATAAATATTTGCTAAACGCTACGGTAGACCTTCTTCTTTTTTGAGGTAACACTTTAATGCCCTCAAGTTCCTTATAGTCAGTGTTCTAATGATTCAATAAATTTGTTTCTGGTGTTTGGAATAACATATATTTTTAATTAGAGCCCACGTAAGTGGTTATATGGTTTATAACAAGAACTAAATCGTAGGGCAATAAAAACTGCTACTTTTACAGAGAGCTGCGAATAGCGGGACTAGCTGTCAAAGGAACTGGAAGTCTCGGAATTTTCGGGACGTTGGGCACTTCATAGTCAAATTCAGTCTTGGTGCTAAGATCAGGTTAGAGTAGACTGCTGTGGGGCAACTCCATATTTTTGACACGTCTGTTCTATAAAAAAAAATATTTTTTCTACCAGCGTGCGGAAAGTACTTTCAACATGCATCCGCGTGCAAAAAGTAGAACTTTTCCGCAGAAGTGCTACTTTCTACACGCAAATGCGTGTTGAAAGTGAGTACTTTCCACACGTTAATAATAAGTAAGTACCTATTTCATTAATTGAATTGTGGCATTCCTCAGGGCACGGTCTTAGGACCGATGTTATGTGATATCTATGTTAAATGTCCTGTACAGCCTACCAACAGCTGGTGAAATAATAAGTCTTGCGGGTGAGACTGTTGTCATTTATAAAGCAAAAAATTGCGAAGATTTAAAGGTAACATGTGAGCAAGATTTCAGTAATACCGTACATTGGTTCAGATCTCGCTTGCTAACCATTAAATACGGCAAAACATATTTTATGATGTTTTGATCCCATCCCAAACAGGTACCGGCCTACGAACAGCTAAATATCAGTAATGAAACAATTACCAGAACCATGAAGATAAAATATTTAGGAGTTCTTAGGTATAAATGCACGCTTCATTGGGGCATTCACATTGAACACGTAGTGAGAAAACTGAGATTTATTATTTATAAAATTAGACACCTTAAGCGTTACCTAACACTACAGCAACTTAGAATAATATATCACGCGTTAATCGAAAGCCACATCAATTATGGTGTAATAGTTTGGGGATCTGCTAATAAGATTCATATAGGTCACCTGGAGAAAATCCAGAAACTGATTCTTTATAATCGACCAATGACTTACCCTAGCGATATGACCTATTTAGAAACTAAAATACTTGACATTCGACAAGCATGCTTCTTCCAGGTCATCACACAACAACACGAAAACAAGGTCGCAGTAGATTAGTTACGACACAAGAAACAAAGACAACTTACGAGTACCATTACCAGGAAAAAACATATTACAAAGATCAAACGCCTTCTTAGCTCCAAGATCTTATAATTTACTACCAGCAGAAATAAAGAAGAACAATAGTATACATAGACTCAAAGCTAACGTAAAGAAATGGATAGTATCAGTAAATCGGTCATTCTTTCATGATGCGATTGATATAAATAAAAAACAGCTATCTAAAATAATGGAACAACAAAATACGTAATTATGACAAATTTAATCCCTAATGTATTTTTTTTTCTTGTGTATGTGTTTGTATCGTATCACTCTGTTAATTATTAAGACTTAGATTCTCCTTGTTTAGCATAATTTTATTTGTATATTCATATTTTCAATTAATATACAATACTATCTTCTAATATGTATCTATTTGTTTCCGTAGTAATTGGTTAGCAATTACCACCCACGCACAATTAAGTATGATCCTTTCTGTGGGTAGTTTATTTATCCGAGCATTTTGTTTTACAGGCTCGTGCAGTTGTAGTAGTGGATACCGAATAAATTATTAGTATTATTATTATTATTACTATAAGAAGTAGTAAACTAGTAAATAGTGACCCCGCTTAAAATAGGTTATAGAACGCGAGCGAAAATTGAAGTTTCAAGCATAATTCAAATTCGTATTTCTGATGAACATGCAGTATCTTCTTCCCACCTGGGATTTGCCTGATCATCAGGTTATTTCTCTAATCCAATAATTTTTCTTTGACTATGAACTTCTTCGCAGCGGCACTACTTTGGTGTTCAATAAAAGATTTCGGACTCTTTTCATTCACCATTGTTTTGGAATCCCAATGTTTTCTGATTGCTAGAAAGGTTTTTGCGATTATCATCTTTAAGAACCTTATATAACCATTTTTTAGTCGAACGATGCTTCCAAATGCAGAGAAACGCTGCACGAACTTAATGTATAATCATCTGTCGATACTTATGCGACAGATACACAATTCCATCCTAATAACGCTACGCAATTCCAATTTATAGCAAAGATGAAATGTACGATGATCCTGTTCGGATAAGGGAGCATTTGCAAAACCGATCCTAATATGCTGGTATTCAATAAACGCTAAGGATAAGGCTATACATAACGAGTCTCCAAGCATGCCTGAGGTAGTGTGGCGCATTTGTTGGTATAGAAAACATCCCAATTATTCTGGACTGTGAAGCGCGCGCCTGCCGAAGACATGCCGCTGCAGGCTATTAACACTGCTGCTTTCCCGCGCCGCGGCACACGGACTGCTAAGGGCACGGATAGATGAGCGATTCGGAAGAGTCTGGTAGCTAGTGGACGTCGTGGCATGCCCATGATGGCGAGCAAGATACCACACAAAAAAACTATTAATTGAATGATACAAATGTTTCTTCTTAAAACTATTGCCTTGATTTTAAGTATTATATTTAAGTATTTGACATTTCTAATATGCTCTGAAACCAAGGAAATCATTTCATTTGTTTGGCCTTTTTTCACAAACTCAAGTTCTTTTATCATCTGAGCCTTATTAAATGAAGATTCCACTACAAATAAATATGTTGTCAAACCACAGTCACGATTTCCTCAATTCAAGTCATTTGCGCTTGATTCAGGCGAATTATTTTTAGCGTTATTTGATATCTTTTCTCTCGACATCAGGCGCGGGTCCGGGGGGGAGGGTACGGTGCGATCCCCCGCCCCGTCAAGAATCAGAGACTTGCAGGAAAATAATGAAAGGGGAAATAAGAACGGACCACGGCGTTTTTTGGATATACATATATTCCCCTGGACCTCGAAGCTTAAAACTTTTTGCAATAAAGTAGGATTGCTGCTCTTCTGAAGCTTTGCTTTAGTAAGCCGCACCCCCACTTCAATTATCAACCAACAGCACGCTGTTCATTAACTTCAAAAGCTATTTTTCATTGATCTGTTACCAGGCATTTTAAAAAAGAGATGCGTGGTTTTGAGGAAATTTAGATGAAAAACAAAGGACAATAGTGGGCATGTCCACAATAAAGGAAGAGGGACAGGAATCGAAAGATTGTTAACCCAAGCAACGTATGTTTTTGATTTTGGCTACATCAGACCCAAATGGTTGTGCATCGAAAACACCGAAGTGAAAATATATGCTCATTACATCAGGATACGGATGTAACTTGAAGGAAAACAACGATGGAAAGCCAAGTAAAAGTTGAAGTTTGTCCTCGAGGGCAACAAGCCTTTAGAGCGATGTATGTATGTAACCTGATTATTTTAGATTTGCAGGTCGTATATCAGTTCAAATTTAAAAGAAATCGATAATCGTTAAAGTGCACGGCAATTATGTAAAAACCTAAAAAACGTCAAAAAACCGACGAAATGTCATCTTGCAGACTAGAAAGTTTTTATTGTGCAAATAGTTCATTCGACGTTTGCTTGCTATGATCGCTGTTCGAGGACGTTTAAGTAACTCGTACAAAACGAGTTCACAACAAGTATACAACAGCTTGTGCTGAGTTAATATCTTGTAAATACATATAGTTTATTTACTGAATCAAAGCAGTTACGTTACAACGTCAAATAATGACAGTGACGCACATGGTTGCCACATTAATTGAAACTACTAGATCCTAGGAACCTAGGAAACACAAACAAAAAACAGCCGTTGGCGTAACTACCTGACAAGCTTTGCGACAATGTCACAACAAAGAAAACTGTTACCAACATAAATGCACCCGGGAAATTCAAACTATAAGTACACATTTAGGATCTATTTTGCATTAAGGTTGGCATTCAAATTCATTATATATGACGTAACCGCTTTGTTTCAGTGAAAGGACTATACATACGTTTTTTACACCGTATCAGCCGCGCAGGGAGAAGCCTAAATGCCAGGTCTCCGCGACTGCTATGAAGAGCTTAAAGCAGCTTTGTTAATCCGATTTCTCAACTTCCTAAAGTTAGTAGAACTGGGAAAAGCCTCCTTATGTAGATTTATCCACAATCTCGATACGCTAGAGACAAAGGAACGATCGTATCGGTCAGTTCTGGATGTACATGTGAAGCTTGACATGGTTAGGATAAGAGGTTGAAGTCAGGTGGATCGTTCTGGTAGGCACACCGTGTGGCAGCATCATGGAGGAGTCCCAAATTTGTTCGCTAGGGAAGAGTCACGCTCTGAACAGCATCGAGCATGGATAATGTAGTCGGGTGGCAGCACCTCGAGCATGTTAGCAGCACTCGAGGCTCGGTCACATCTGGACCTTGTACAGAGTGAGGAGGTCATACAAGGAAAAGTACTTCTTAGCCCTAAACAAATAGAACAATATAATAGAAACTTGACATTTTTGCCGTTTCCTTAATTGGTGCTTGCAAACCATTCAAAAATAGATGCTAACAGTCGAATCTATAAAGATAGAGGAAAGTAATTGCGATGAAAGTATTTGATAGCCCTATAATTTATCTCCCGGATGAATGCCAGTAATTCCCCATCTGTACATACCTTAACATAGATTCTCTCTTACAGCGGCACGCGGACAGCATAAAGCGCTAGATCGAAAATCGGCCGTAATAAGCGATATTTATGGGATGACTGGAACGCCTGGGCGTGACCCTCATGCTGTAACAGCATAGACTGCACCAACACTTTTTCCTTGAACGATAGTGTATTTGGTGAAGCCTACACAAATCCTTTTTCGTTCACAACACTCTGCTTACGTTGTCCTGCACAGCTTCATAGGAATTTGGAATTTGGGTCAATAGCACCGTCATCATATTCAAGTTTCAGCTGAATCGATGCAACTGTGAAGTTTTCTGCCAATACCTTTTGGAGTTACACACATTTTGATACTGGCTCATATTGGACACACTCTGATAATAGCTGATGCCTTTTTTGCGATCATTAGCATTTATGAGTTTCTAAAAGGTCATTTCCCAAGATAAAAACGAGCATGAGGCTGAGCTTGAAATAAACAGCAAAATAATTCACTCGGTATGCGTAAACTGTAATCAATGTGACATTTTCACGTTGATCTATAAGCCTCAAACACAATTATGTTCATAATAAATGGAATAAAATTATCGCTGTTATGTACGTATCTACTGAAGATTAAAATTGCATTTCCATTTTTTGCATGTATTGGCAGTGGCGCCCATAAAATATTTGGTTCTTTCGTGTAGACTCGTTGCATACATGATCGATCACAAGTTTTGAGAAATAGTAAAGGGTGCGCCATCAGTTATTTTTTTTAAGTCGGTATTATTTTGTCAGTTGGTAACACTTTCATACTCAACATATTAACAGATATGTCACTTTTCTATCTTATTTTTAAAAAACTTACATGCTGTTCATATTGATGTTTGTATATGCTTACAATTTCAAGGGATGAGTGGAAGAGCGCTTAACTCCCCCTTGTGGTTTTCAGACATACGACATTTGTTTTATTGTTTTTATTTTCCTTTTTTTGTTAATACTCATGTTTCTCTTTCTGATATTTTTTTTGAGAAGTTTGGAAATAAAGGCATTTATTATTATTATATATTGTGTCAAACTTCCGGTGTGAGCAATGGATCGTTTTAATCTTGACCAAAGGTGGGAAATATTGAAAAACTATTTAAGTATGTTGCAGAAACTTTACGAAAATTGAGAAGATTATCTGGCCGGAATGAAGCTCGTCCGCGACTTGTATACGAAAATTCTTGAAGAAGGCTCGTGAAACTGGCCTTCTTGTAGATAACAGATGGTATGAGCGTGTTCGATCCATAGGTACAGCCGAAAACATTGCTGCTGTTGCCCAGAGTGTGAAAACTCAAACATGTCTGCTCGTCACAGAGCACAACAAGTGGGCTTCAGGCGAACTTCTTTGCGGAGAATATTGCATAACGACCTGGGATTATTTCCTTACAAGGTGCAACTTGTGCAAGAGTTGAAACGAAATGACCCTCCGCTTCGATATCGGTTCTTTGTGTGGGCTCTAAATCAACTGGAAACGGACGTCAATTTTGGTCGCCAAATCATCTTTTCTGACGAAGCCCATTTCCATCTGGGAGGTTACGTTAACAAGTAACTGTAGGATTTGGGGTTCTGTAAAACCACATGTCCTCATAGAAAAACCAATGCATCCAAAAAGAGTAACTGTTTGGTGTGGCTTTTGGAGTGGTGGGATTATTTACTAGCCCCTACTTTTTTCAAAATGAAGATGATAACAGCGTGACGGTAAACGGGGAACGCTATAGAGACATGTTGAGGAGTTTCTTGTGGTCACTATTAGACGGCATGCACTTGCACAATGTCTGGTTCCGGCAGGATGACGCAGCATGCCACACCAGCTGTGTGAAACAATCGATCTTTTACACACTAAGTTCAGTCATCGCGTTATCAGCCGTTTTGGAGACGTTCATTGGCCAGCCCGCAGCTGTGATTTAACGCCCATGGATTACTTTATATGGGGTACTGTTAAGGACCGCTGTTACACTAACGATCCTGAAACAATTGATGTTCCAAGGAAAATATCCGTCGAGATATTGATGAAGTAGACCCACAAACTATCGAAAATGTGCTTCAAAATTGGGTTAAGAAGATGGACTACTGCCAGGCCAGCCGCCACAGCCATTTAACTGAAATTGTTCTTCATAAATAATCGGAAGGTGTATTCTTTTAAATAAAGTATTGAGTGTAACATATTATTGAAGAGTGTAGTTTTAATACCAATTTAAAAAAGAAACCAACGGATGGCCCATCCTTTACAATACATACATACCTAGATTGGAAGGTGAGCTACTAATGATCGAACATAGCTGCGAAATCTTCTACATGGCTTTTAAAACGAAGCACGTAAGTATAGGATATTTTCGTGAGATTAATCAACGATTATGACGTTTCATATTGCTTTCACAAATAATTTGAATCATCATGTACTATAGCCTAATACCAAGCTGCCAAAGACAACATAAAGCAATACAAAGCATTATTTTGCGGGCTTGCCATTTCAATTGCAGATGGAAATGAGCTGGTAACTGATATAATGAAGTTATCAGGATACACATTCATTTTTTTACCTAAGGAGAGGAGCTCTCAATGCGATGGAGAACAGTGATGATATTTTAACACTTTTTCTTCAACAGCAGATGATTCTATTTGTACACAACACTAAATATTCACCCTTCAGAAAAACATCACCACCTTTGGCATTAGAGTTGATACATCTACGGGAAATGGAACTAGCCGAATGTTTGTAAGGTTTGAAGTCACTGTATTGAAGATATTGATATCAACGACATTGTAGTTGAAAAGCTTTGAAACAGAAGCTGCTAAAAATTCATTTCCCAGCGCCGTTCTTTTAGATGCCTCTAATATAGACTAGATATATAGGGTTTTACTTTATGATAGGCCGTAACTGCAAGGGAGAATTCCCGAACCAAGTTCAAGTAGAAAAGTTAATATAAATATGTGTCCTAAAAACTTTGGATTCCAAGATACAGGATGTCGAAGATTTGAAAAAAAGGATTTTTAACAGATAAAAAGTAATAGCAAACTGCCACGAACAGTCAAAAATATATTAAGGGCAACAGAACAATACTCCCTAGCAATGATCGAAGTTGATTTGATCTTATTTTCATAATTTTTCGACATGTTCTGAAGTTGTTTTAATTTTTTTCCTCTAGAAAATCTGAAAAAATATGTTGTTTTAGAAAGTCGGTGGCCTTCATTTCTGCCAATATCATGGGACTGACTGACCCCGAGACGACACTGGAATTCATAATATTATCTAGTCAGTGCTAACTTACTGCAATGAGCATAATGCCAAAATTCAATATAATCGGCACAAGAATCTTTGAGATGTTAATACAAAAATAGTTTTTTATTATACAATGGAAAAAAAATTGCTAGAGCTAAAGAAGCTAAAATCTAGTATTTTTCCCGTGTATAATACACAATTTTTTTCAGTGACGGGAAAAACGACGAGTTTATATTGAAAAATTGTATTATTACTATATTTAATTCAGGAAATTATCGATGTGAAATTTGAATTTTGAAATTAGTAGGCTATGTTCCTAATACTAAATACCTGTCAATTTAATTTTGTGATTTGATTAAAAAATTGTGAACTTAGTGGTTGTTTAGAAGTTATTTTTAATACTATAACGTAAAAAATTTCTGATTCCGAGTTTTCTTTGACTCCACTGGAATTGGTAGAAGTAGCCAAAGTAGCGTCACAAAAATTATTGCCTGCTAAATCGCGGAAAATTTACGAAATCGCGTATTTAAGATTTATGGAATGGAAGATGAAAAAATCATGCAGTTCTTTGTCGGAGACGGTGTTATTGGCTTATTTTTTGGAACAACAACAGAAACCATCAATATCCGGGAAAGAAGTACTCATTTTTTTCCCGGGGAAAAAGTAATTTAATAAAAAGTGACATTTTGTTACCTGTCACAGAAAAAAAACACATTTTCATAAAACTTTGAGGCCCTGTGCCTTTGAAACCCGACTTTTTAGGACGCTTTGTCATATCAACTTTTCTATTTAAATTTGGTTCAGGAATGCACCCTTGTTATTACGACCTATCATTAAGTAACACTCTTTATACACGTAGAGAAGGCACGTCGAACATTTTTTTCTGGGACATTTTACACAGGAGTTTATTGGTAACCTCCTAAGGCTACGCCCATTAATAATATTTGTTTTTCTACACCGTCGGATAAATCAGAAGAAAAAACCATATTACTTGATGTCTGGCAACAACACTGCGTTAAGGTCACGTCTCCACAAATAGAAGTTTGCCAGGTTCATGCATAACTCAAAAACATTTCATATGTGAAAAATCCCAAGGATTGCATTTATTAATCTATATATGATATGATTATTCGTTCAGGAATGTTAAGGTCGCACTGCAAGCTAGAGAAATTCATAAACAAAGTGAATAGAGCAGATTGTCTAGCTACCGCAAGAACAAATTGCAATGATATAAAATCATGATATACAATTACAAATTATACTGATCTACCCGCAGGATTGCATGATTTGTGAATTAACTAAATCAAATGTACAGTTTTAGTTACAGAAAATTACCTACATGAAGTTATTTCTCAGACTTGAATCATATCAGTCTATTCTTAAAACATGTAGTGGTATCATTCGCTGGGTGCGCGATTATAGCGCCACCTGACGGATTTCGGACTGAAATTCTGAATTCTCTTTTGATGTGGCAAACGATGGGAGCCTGATAATGGCATCATTCGTATAGCCAAACTTTATCTTTTGCTGAACGCACAGGATCACTTTGAGCGCTACCGGAGCGCTCGCCATTTTTTTCATCATAACCAAAATATGCCCGGCTTTTGAACAAGTGATACATCAAATACTGTTTTACGGGGTTCAATGTTTTGTGTTTGCTTTGCCTGGTTTGAAAATAGTATAGATGTCTTGATAAAATAAAGTTGATACAGAGTACTATGAAAATTTGATGACCAAACAGGGGAAAATGGAAGGAACGTACAATAAAAAGACAAACTGTATTCTGTCCTTGAGGCTTATTTTATACTGCAACATGGTAAAATTTCGTTTAAGCCTCTACCTATAAGATTTTTAATCGTTTATCAATTTTAGTTTGAAATCT